AAAAAAAAAAAAAAAAAAAAACAGCTGAAAAGTAGCTAAAAAAGTTGTCAGGTCGGGACGGATTCAAACAACAAAAAAATGTAGAAAAGTTTCATCTTTTTTCCAAAAGACTTCTCAAGTCTGAGGAGCTGTATTCAGCTCAGCCTTATAAATAGTGCCTTCTCATAGTGAGCTGCAAATCTGAATAAAAGCTGAAAAGCAGAAAGAAGCTTTACCAGAAGGAAGTGGAGAGAACACATTTTTGCTGAATTAGGCTGAAAAAAGTTGAAATGAATGCAAAAAATGTGGAATTAGCTGAAAAAGTTTAATTAGCATAAAAATAGCTAAATAGTAGCTGAAATGGTAGAAAAAGCTGAAACTAGCATAATAAGCCGAAATTAGCAGAAAGAAGTTAGAAGCAGCAACAAAAATGTTTGAGTTAGCAGAAATAATCTGTAAGGAGCACACAGTGACTGAAAAAACAGCTGAAATCAGCTGAAAAATGTTTAAATTTGCACTGGACAGCTGAAAGAAGCTGAACCATAACAAAATGTGAAAGGAGCAGTAAAATGTTGTAAACAGATCTAAAGATTTGAAGGAGGTAAAATGAGCTCAATTAGTTTTCTATGAGGAAAGAAATGGCAGGAAAGGCTAAATATTTAAAAAAGCTAAAGTTGCACCAATACCAAAAGCCATAGCTGGATTTTCATGAAAGAGCTGAACGTTTCGATTTATGATTTGTTAAAATAGCACAAAAACTGTGGAACGAGAATCGCTCTGAAAAATGTACAGAAGAGAAATGGATCACAACAGTGTGAATGCTTCATAAGCAATAAAAAGGAACTTTATTCAAACAATTTAGAAACTACTGGATTAAAAAAAAGCAATCATATTTGTTGCATTTTCTTTCTTTTCAAATTAAACTTCATTTGTTGAGTGAGAGCGAAAGAGTGGAAGGAGGGAGATTTCTCAAATTAAACAAGTCCTTTGAGTAACAGTGGTTATTTGTAGTGTCTTTAGTAATATTATGTATTGAAACACTCTTGTTTTTACTTTTATTTTTTTTTTGTAGACCTCATATCAGTGGAACTGTTCTTTGTGTTGTACTTGAAACAAGCACAGGTGTTTGTAATGACTGCAGGATTTAGTTTCAAAATCTAAACATCCAGAAAGCTAAGAGAAAAGAAGTGTGGACTACATAAACATTTGGAACTCTGTAAAAATGGTTTAGTTTTCTAGCTGTAAGATACAAGGGACGTCCAGTTAATTTTAGTTGGTGAAAGCCCACATGAAGCTCTGACGGACTGACGTTTTAAATCCCTGAATGTTTTTGTGCCATTCAGGTCTCCCACATGTGCTCGCTTTAAGGTTTGTTCCAGATTGCAGTCCTCTCTGCTGATTATTTTCCATGAACTCTAAACAGATGGTTAGACTGGATACATCCAGACATCTTTATAGTGCAGAGAGCTACGTAAAGTGTTGCCAGTCTTAAGACTCCCTTGTCTCCAACAGAAATGGCAGGACATCATAAAGGAGGTGAAGTTTTTGCAGAGGATCCGTCACCCCAACAGTATAGAATACAAAGGTTGTTACCTCCGTGAGCACACAGCATGGGTAAGACGTTTACATGAGCAGAATCAAATTGTTTCCTTTAAAATGTTTATATGAGCATGCAGGATGTGTGTATTATGTGTGTATTCTTGATATGTTTGTGTTTCTAGCTGGTGATGGAGTATTGCCTTGGTTCAGCCTCTGACCTCCTGGAAGGTGAGCTGAAAGAAATTTGTTCAGAACATTTAATGTTGTCTGAACTCACAGGAAAGACGCATGCACATGTTTTTCTTTTTGATGATGTTGATTAATAATAATTTTTCTTGTAGTTCATAAAAAACCTTTACAAGAAGTTGAGATTGCTGCCATTACCCATGGTGCTCTGCAGGGGCTGGCCTACCTTCACTCCCACAACATGATCCACAGGTCGGTGATCTTACCTGATGTCTATCAGTAGCATCTACAGTACCTCTCACTGATATTTGATTTTTTATTTCCCCACACCATAGGGATGTAAAAGCAGGCAACATCCTGCTGACTGAACCAGGCCAGGTCAAACTGGCAGACTTTGGCTCTGCCTCCATTGCCTCACCTGCCAACTCCTTTGTGGGAACGCCATATTGGTAAGTAAAAAGCAAAGGGGATTGTGGACGAACTTGATGTGAATCTTTTGTTCTAATCAGAACTTGTAAATGGTGTCTGCCTAAAATAACTTTGATTTGTAAAATAATTCTGGATAAAGCCCGTTTCTACATGTGTACTCACAACTAAACCCTGCCAGTTAACAAATTCCAGTGCGTTTCTGCTGTTTTTTTTTTCTTTAGGCAGTGTACACTTTAAATTGAGACGCTACTTTTTCTATTCAGTTTGATTATATTTGATTTATGTTTTGGGGAAAAAAAGCTTAATTTGTTGTGAAGAACACCATCCATTGTTAACTAGATTCAACTTACAGGAGAGGAAAACAGAAATAAAAACAAAGAGGGGAAATGCATGTTTGTTTGTTTTTTGACCAATTTATTTTTATTTTTTCTTCACCCAGGATGGCCCCGGAGGTGATTCTAGCTATGGATGAGGGCCAGTATGATGGGAAGGTGGACGTCTGGTCTTTAGGGATCACATGTATAGAATTAGGTAGGTTACAGCATCTGTCTGCCATGTCAACTTAACATAAGGAAACTATTCAAGTGTAGAGCAGAAGCAGAAGAGTCGGGCCTAAAAGTACTGTCTGCTGCAGATAAACAGTATTTGACAGTCATGTCTGTAAGAAAGAGGAATATGTCCAGCAAAACCCAACACAGGACCTTTGGCTGATCGTCTACTGTCTGCTGCTAATAGCTTTTTGGGACACACCTTGTTGGTGCTAAAATACATTATGTCTGTCAAACTCTGTTTTCTTCAGTAGAATTAAAAAAAGCAAGAATATCTATTTATGATAGACTGCTGGTAACAATGTGTCCAGAATTTCTGAATGATTTTTTTTTTTCTCCTGCGTTTTCTGTCATGTATCAACACAAACCTGGTTTATCCCTTAAGTTTAGGAGCCCTTTTCTACTTAACTGATTCATAGCTCAAAAAACATTTCTCTGTAACAGATGTTACTGGATCAGAAATGAGTGAAAATAGCAGCCAGGAGGAGTCTGGCCCTTTGGAAACAAAGAAATTAGGAACGACTGAAGACTTTTGCACACTTTATCTATAATGTTGTAATTTAATGAAAGTGCATTTCTGTTTCAGCTGAGAGGAAGCCTCCATTGTTTAACATGAATGCAATGAGTGCCTTATACCACATAGCACAGAATGAGAGCCCCACACTGCAGTCCAGTGAATGGTAAGGTGCCTCACAAATCCAGTTTGTTCTCGCAGCTGTCTTCATAACGTACCAGCAGTAAAAAATATACAAACGCTGGAAAATCTTTGGCCAAAGTCGTTGCTGTAAAGCTACAATAAAACTTTGAATATCAAAGTTGCTGTTTTGGATTCTACATTAATCATTATTAAAACATTTTGCACCTAAAGTGTAAATTCTGTCTCTTTATCGATGCTCTCTGTGATTGTATCTGTTTTTGATCTGCTGTTTTATCTCTGCTTTAGGACGGATTACTTTAGAAACTTTATCGATTCTTGCCTTCAGAAAAACCCCCAGGACAGACCACATTCTGACGACATGTTGGGTGTAAGTGTAACACACACACACACACACACACTGTACAACTACACAAGAACAGCAAGAAGGGTCAGTGTGTTAAGATGCTGATAAATCTCTCTTTGATGGGTTCTGACCTCATAAGCTTCTCTTTTGATCCACTAATCTTCTACTTCCTGATTCACACACACACAGAACGAAATCATGTCAGAAACGCACGGATTCTCCTTGTAGAAAGAACACAGATGTAATTACTGTAGAGACGTGACTTCTGCACCCACTGTAGAGTAACTGAGCAGCTGTCACTTAGCCCACTAATGTCACTTAGACTCACTGTTGCTAATGGAAATGTTTGCTCAGAACAGAAGCACAGAACGTTGAATGATCTTCAGAGTTGAATTATTTCTCTGTTTTTTAACTAACTTGTGATATTTAATCTTGTGAATTTTGTTGTGGAGCTTTGTTGTTTAAATTATAATAAATCAGACATGAATACAGATGAAAGTGTGTGGATAAATGTAATGTCAGAGGATTGCATTATGAGCAGGTAAGTTTTAATGATGCGCGTCAGTAGACGATTTAGTTTGATTTATTGGTCAGCCAGACTAGATGTTAAGACGCTCTAAGGCAGCACTTTATATTCATTTTGGGTAACTCCGTTGCTAGTGGTCAGCATTCACACCTTGCAGTGGATGAAAACCCCACAATGTTTTTGCAGTCGGAGGTCAGTGACCTGAATCTGTTGCATGCAGCCTCGTCACACAGAACGCTGTCAGCAACAACCAGGACATCAGCGGGTCTACTGATGTTTCTGAAAAAATGCTAAACACATTCAGACATCTGATCGACCTTTCTATGAAGAAGATTCTCATAAACAGTTCAACCTTTAGCCAAAATATTACAAACTAACCCCCCCAGAAAAAAAAAAGATCTTCAGAATATTCCCAAGACTATCTAAAAAGTTAAATCTGGTCCTCTGGACATTCAAAAAGTCTTTCGAATGAAAGACGAAACATTTCTACATTTTTATTTAATTTTTTTTTTTATGTCCAGAGGACCAGATTTAACTTTTTTAGATTTTTCTACCTGGATTTTTGAGCATGCATCAGGATATTCCCAAGACTAGTTCTTTGTTTTCTTTCAGTTGTTCTCTCTTCAGGGGTCTCCACAGCGAGTCATCCTCCTCCATCTCACTCTGTCCTCTGCATCCTCTGTCCTCACTACAACATCCTCTCTAACTGCATCCATGTATCTCTTCTTCGTCTTTTTCCTGGCAGCTGCATTTCTAACATCCTTCTACCAATATACCAACTGTGCCTTCTCTGGAAATGTCCAAACCATCTGGACCAGACCATGCCTGGTCTCTAACTTTATCTCCCAGTTGTTCAACCTGTGCCGTACCTCTGATGATCTCCTTCCTAATCTTATCCATCCTTGTCACTCCTAAGAAGAACCTCAACATCTTCATTTCTGCCACTTCCAGTTCTTTCTTCTGTCTTTTTGTCAGTGACACGGTCTCCAGATCAAACAATATAGCTGGTCTCATCTCTGTCTTGTAAACTTTTCCTTTGACCTTTGCTGACACCCTTTTGTCACAAATCACTCCTGAAACTTCCCTCCATCCATTCCATCCTGCATGGACTTTCTTTTTCACCTCTTTACCACACTCTCCATATTCCTGGACAGTGGACCCCAAGTACTTGAAGTCCTGCACCTTTATGACCTCTGCTCCTTGTAGCCTCACTGTTCCACTGGCCTCCCTCTCATTCCTCTTCTTTGAAGCGCATACCTCCACCTCTCCAAGTTCTCTTCCACCTGTTCCCTGTTCTCACCACAGATCATAATGTCATCTGCAAACATCATAGTCCACGAGGATTCCTGCCTGACCTCATCGGTTGGTCGATCCACCACCAGAGCAAACAAGAAGGAGCTCAGAGCCGATCCTTGATGAATCCCACCTCCACCTTGAAGCTATCTGTCACTCCTACACCACTGTCCTGCTGTCTTCATACATGTCCTGTACCAGTCTAACATACTTTTCTGCCACTCCAGATTTCCTCATGCAATACCACACCTCCTCTCTTGGCACTCTGTGGATTTAGAAAAAGTATATGACAAAGACACAATGAAGTTCTTTCTGACCCTCTCTGCATCAGCATCCTCAAAGCAAATATGGCATCTGTGGTGCTCTGTCTCTGCATGAAACCATACTGCTGCTCACAAATAGTCACCACTTGTCTAAGACTAATTTCCACAACTCTTCCAGATCTTCAGTGTGTAGTTCATCAACTTAATTCCCCTGTAGTTGCTACAACTCTGTACATCACCCTTGTTCTTAAAAATGGGCAGCAGCACATTTCTCATCCATTTGTTTGTCCATGATCAGTCAGCTGACGATTGCTGAAATCTTTCATACGTACAACTCTTTATTACTTCAGTTATGTTCACAATTTAAGCAGCTTTATATCATATCAGCCTTATCTATGCACGCACTTCTAAAAAGGGCTTTTTCTAATACCTGTCAGTAACATCTGGATTTGTTTCACACCAGTGTTGACATGTTTTCAGTTCTTCTGATCTATCTATTTTGTCGTCTTTACTTGTTCTGTGATCTGTAATATTCATTACGGTTTTTCTTCTTTCTTATCACTTTTCCGTCCAGCACGCATTTCTGCAACGTGAACGTCCAGATTCTGTGTTGATGGATCTTATTCAGAGAACTAAGGATGCGGTGCGAGAGCTGGATAACCTGCAGTACCGCAAGATGAAAAAGATCCTCCTTCAGGAGGCCCATAACGGGCCCACCACTGAAGTCCAGGATGGCGATGAGGTGTGCGGATGTTTCTTTATTAAAAATCAAAACCGCTACATAAAACTGAAGCTTTGTGTAACCGTAGAAATGCATTTGTTCTATTTTATTTAGATAAAATAATGACATAACATTGGTTTTTATGCATGTCTGTCTGTCCTACTGTGTATTCTGTGTCTGTTGTTTCTTCTCTGTCTCTCTCCCTCGCTGTCTCTCCCTGTGCTCTCTTCCCGCTCTGCTCCAGGACCTGGAGTTGGGCGCAGGTCGAACGGGAACCGTGAACAGCGTTGGCAGTAATCAGTCCATCCCCAGCATGTCCATCAGTGCCAGCTCCCAGAGCAGTTCTGTCAACAGTCTGAATGAAGCAGCGCAGGACAGCCGCAGTGAGCTGGACCTGATGGAAGGAGACCACACGGTCATGTCCAACAGCTCTGTCATACACCTCAAACCGGTGGGTGAAGTGAAACCCACAAACACAATAAGTCAGAGTAGCAGACTTGATCTGCAACTCTTTGTCCTCATACAGCAGCTTGTAAATCTTTAATTCTTGCAAAGTTTGAAAATGCCTCTTAATCAAGATTTAATCAACTGGATTATTTTTTCTGACCATGAAAATAAACCATTCAAATGAGCTGATAACCAGAAAACTGTGCGTAATGTTCACTTAAAACTAAAGAGTTTAGAATTTAGTTTGATTAAAATATTGCAGTTTAGAAAATTTAGCAAAATTTTGAAAAGACATGAAGATAAACATATAATGTATATTTACTTCTAACTTTCTTTTTGAATCAATAGGAGTTGGTGATTTGGCTAACAATTTAGTTTTTCTTTCCTTTTGCTTCAGGGTTTTAGACTAGAGCAGGGGTGCCAAACTCATTTACAAAAGGGGTCAAAATTAAAACCTTTTTCAAACTAAGGGCCAGTTTCAGAATCCGCATCAATTTGAGTCAGATACCCAACATCTTTTCTTGATTGCAGGTTCCTCAACAAGAGTTTGATTGGTCTCATTTGACATTCTCTGTTGCATTTTTGACATCATAGTCAAAGATTACTGAAAAAAATTAAAGTGATAAAAGTATTTTACATTTAAAATGACATCCTGGGGGCCAGACAAGATGTCAACGAGAGCCACATTTGGCCCCTGGGCCTTGAGTATGACACGTATGGACTAGAGGATCTCATTGAATTATTTCCTTCTGTTTAAAAACAGGTCTTACAGCATTTAGAAATTATTTTTGAAATATTTGCACCACATGAGCAGTATAAACAAACCCAGTAACTAAAGCAACATGTCAAGTGTATCAGTTTATATAGGATGAGTACTAATTTCTAATAAACTACCACAGTTAACTGTAATAACTCTTTTAAGTTTAACAACTCTGGATGAAACACAATTTTTATTGTGAGTTTCCATGAACAACAGTATCTCTGTACAGTATTTGTGTTCTGGTGCTTCATTCTTTACTTGCGTAGTTTTCAGCAAACCCAACCTGCTGGTCTTTTGTGTTTTAAAATGCCACATCCCGTTTAGTTTTGTCTCACCATTGGCCTGTCTGGTCCTGTAGGATACCACACATTGTCTCTGTTTTACTGTCTGCTCCTTTTTGTTCTGCTGCTGCTTTATAAACTTTCTTGTGCTTTACTGTGGATTGTTCCAAGTCACCTCAACTTAATGTTGATTATGTACATGTCTCCAAGGAAACATCAAGTTTACAGTAACTACTCTTAACACCCAGCAGAGGGAGCAATAATCCTATTTTTGTAATGCATGCATTTTCTCATAGAAAAAATCTTATTGATTAAATTGTTTTAAATATATTAGCTTTATGAGATACTTTGGTGTTAAAGCTTGCTTATATGTGTGCTAAATTGTAAGACAACAATACTGTCCTGTCTGTCCAGGAGGAAGAGGAGAGTCTCTCTGCTGAGCAGGCAGCCAGCAGTCAGCCCACTGAGCCACAACCAGCGCCAGCTCAGGCCCCAAGAAAGCACTACCGCAACAGAGAGCACTTTGCTACCATACGCACAGCATCACTTGTGAGAAGGCGCCTTATTCTTCCATTTGTTGCACTTATTGCAGACACAGGAAGAGTCTTGCAAAAGACTCTTTTAGCATTTGGTAGATAACTTTACAACTACGAATACCTAGCTCTGTGTATTACATAATGCCTTTCAGATAATCCAAATCTAAGTAACATCCACATGTTGTAGGTGACTCGTGAGATGCAGGAGCATGAGCAGGACTCGGAGCTGAGGGAGCAGATGTCAGGGTATAAACGCATGAGACGGCAGCACCAGAAGCACCTGATGGCCCTGGAGAACAAGCTGAAAGGCGAGATGGACGAGCACAGGCTGCGGCTGGACAAAGAGCTGGAGAGTCTGAGGAACAACTTCACTCAGGAGATGGAGAAGCTGCTGAAAAAACACCAGGCGTCCCTGGAGAAAGACGTACGCAGACAGTTTAAGATTTTGACACACACAGTAGTGTAAAACAAAAATGCGCTGCCTACTCCTGTTGGGTTTACACAAACTTAAAACAAGTGGGAATATTTTTGTTGTTGCTGTTTATGTTGATCGATACGTCTGTGTGATGTAGCTGAAGACGTTTGCCAACGACGAGAAGAAATTCCAGCAGCACATTCAGGTTCAGCAGAAGAAGGAGCTCAGCAGCTTCTTGGAGTCACAGAAGCGGGAATATAAAATGCGCAAAGAGCAGCTTAAAGAGGTAGTGCACGCAAACATCATGCTATTTACTAAGACTCACCGTTTTAAACATACAAATCAACAAACTTCACAACATTGTGTATTGGATATACAATGCAGTAGTCCCTCGTTTATTGCAGGGGTTACGTTCCAGACACACACACCCCCACCCCCCCCTCCACCGCGCAATAAGTGAAAATCTGTGAAGTAGTGACATTATATTCATTTTAGTATTTATTTATATTTTAAGGCTTTATAAACCCTTCCCACACTCTTGCAATGTTCTAAACTGTTAAACCTACGTCATTTTAACAACATGCGTATATGTAGCTACTAAATTTTGCTCACCAGCTAGCAGACCAGCAGCAGCTCTCGGTTCTGCTCCGGTTCTGTGCAGCCGTTGAGCGCCGATGCGCATTTTGGAGGAGGGCCCGTCCTTCGGGTGGCCGGCGTAGGACCGGTACTCTAATTAAGAGATTTTAAAAGTCCCAGTGTGCTCCAGAGAGTAGCTGGACCTTTGGCGGCGCCTCCCCCACTCAGAAGTCCTTGTGGGCCAGCTACCAGTTCTCGGATTCGCCGATGGGTCTGGAGGTCTGGTTCTAGTCCTGTTCCCAGTGGGTTCTGTGCAGCTTTCTGAATTTGCTGGACACTGAAGTCACTGTAAAGGACCAAACTTTTTCCGATCAGATCAAAACTTTCAACAGAAGGCAACGGGGCTTCTAGGCGGGGCCCTGTTGGCTTCTGGGAAATGTAATCCTTATGAGTGACGATAAAGCGTAGGCTTATTGAGAGAAAACTACAAACAAAATTGTGGCGCCTGTCTGAAGTATTTTATTTTTTCGTTAACTTTATACTGTACAGTATCCTGTACTGTCCCAATCGCTTGATTAATGTTAAAGTTGACAACCATGTGTCGTGTAAAAAAATTTTTCCCCTCGTGTTCAGTCTTACTTTGAAAAACCGCGAAAGAGCGAGTTTGCGAAAGTTGAACCGCGAAGTAGTGAGGGACTACTGTATACATTATTGTTATGTAAAACAGTCTGCTAAACACAGAACACCTTTTTAATACTGTATCTTGCATCATGCAAGAAAACAGATTTTTGGATGAAGCTGTAGTTTTTTTTTCTTTTTTGTTGTTTTTGTTGTTCCCATAACCTGTTGAACAATGTGATCATTAGGTTTTCACTGACCATGACAACACTGAACATTATTCTTCAGTTCTACGTTCGGCAAAGTGTTTGAGCTATAACCTTTGCTTTTTGTTCAGTCGTAGCAAAGTTTAAGATTGAAACGCGTTCTCACAAAGCCCACTGTTTTAGTGTATGTGTTGCCAAATGCTGAGACAGTCATCGGTCCCAGCACTGATGATGAATCCTGTTATGTTGAACTGAACTAAATGTGTGGCAGGAACTGAGCGAGAACCAATCGACTCCCAAAAAAGAAAAGCAGGAGTGGCTGTCCAAACAGAAAGAAAACATCCAGCACTTCCAGGTCAGTATTCCTCAGACAGAATGAGCAGTGTTGAGCTTCAATGAGCAGGTGTTGATTTTGACGTTAACGTAACAATGAATTTACTCGGTCACTGCTAGATATTTCATTTGCAAAGGTTTTACTGCTAAGATATATTTTTTAAAGTTCTAGTTTTGGCATGATGTGTATGACTCCAGGCAGAGGAAGAGGCCAACCTGCTGAGGAGACAGAGGCAGTACCTGGAACTGGAGTGTCGGCGGTTCAAGCGCAGGATTCTCATTGCCAGACACAATGTGGAGCAGGATCTAGCTCGAGAGGTTTGTAGGGACACAAGAAAACCAGACCCCCCCCCCCCCCCCAGTGTTACTGTATATATTAGGCCTTTCTCACCTTTCCTTGTATTTACCAGGAGTTGAACAAGCGGCAAACTCAGAAGGACCTGGAGCACGCCATGCTGCTTAGACATCACGAGTCGATGCAAGAGCTGGAGTTCAGACATCTAGCAACAATTCAGAGAGCCCGGGCTGATCTGATCCGGACCCAGCACCAGACAGAACTCACCAACCAGCTGGAATACAACAAGAGGAGGGAGAGGGAGTTGAGACGCAAGCATGTCATGGAGGTCCGACAGCAGCCCAAGAGTCTGAAGGTTTACGCTTTTACTATTTATCTATTAATGCTCTTATGTTACTGCAGAAGGAGCATTAAAAACAAAAGCTAACAGCTGTTTTGCTCTTGTTCTTTTTCTTTAGTCCAAGGAGCTGCAGATTAAGAAGCAGTTCCAGGAGACGTGTAAAACCCAGACCAGGCAGTACAAGGCGCTCAGGAACCATCTGCTTGAGACCACACCAAAGTCTGAGCACAAGGCCGTGCTCAAGAGGCTGAAGGAGGAGCAGACCAGGAAGCTGGCAATCCTGGCCGAGCAGTACGATCACTCCATCAACGAAATGCTTTCCACGCAGGCTGTGAGTAACCAAAAGAATATATATTTTTTAATTAAACAATTAAGTTAACTTAATGCTTAATACTTTAGATGTAGGGGGAAGTTTAAATGAACAAAAATTTCTAAAATAATTTCCAGGTTTTAAAATATCAAAAATAAAAAAACTATTTTAAAAAATCATTTCTTTTTTATACAGCAAGTATTTGTTGAATAATGGTCAGTCAGGTCATCAGGACAGTTTATTTTTTGTGGAAAGATGTTTTGCCCTCTATGGACGGTCCATAGAGGGCGAAACGTCTTTCCACAAAAAATAAACTGTCCTGATGACCTTATTGACCATTATTGGATTTTGTACCTGGGTGATTGAGCATGAACTTTGAAGTACTTGTTGAGTTTCACAAAGAACTCATCAATCATTCATATTATTAGTTTAGCTAATTTCCTGTCAGTGTTTTTAATGATAAACTCATTGTTGGATTATTCTGTTGACTTTTTTTTTTGTTTTTGCTCTGTTTGATTTGTGTCTCCCCAGCTGCGGTTGGATGAGGCTCAGGAAGGGGAGTGTCAGGTTCTGAGGATGCAGCTGCAGCAGGAGCTGGAGCTGCTCAACGCCTACCAGAGCAAGATCAAGATGCAGACGGACGCACAGCACGACAAGGAGAGGAGGGACCTGGAGCAGAGGGTGTCTCTGAGGAGGGCTCTACTGGAGCAGAAAGTAAGGTGGACTCTTAGGAACGTTTTCTTGAATCCATTTGACTGCCTGTAATTATTTTATCTTTTTTTTTTTTTCCTCAGATTGAGGAGGAAATGCTTTCCCTGCAAAACGAGCGTTTGGAGCGGATCCGCTCTCTGCTGGAGCGCCAGGCCCGAGAGATCGAGGCTTTTGACTCGGAGTCGCTGCGGCTGGGCTTCAGCAACATGGTGCTCACCAACCTGGCTCCTGACTCCCAGGGGGGCTGGGGGGGAGGAGGTGGAGGAGGCCAGGGAGGTCAGGGAGGAGGGCAGTGGCCTGGAGGAGGTGGAGGAGGCAGCCACCACAGTCACCATCACCAGGGGGGCTCTAGCTCGCAGCAGCCCTGGGGTCATCCCATGCTGTCAGGTGGCCCACCGCCCTGGAGCCTTCACCACCCTGGAGGAGGGAATCAGAGAAGTGGTCAGGGAGGTGCGGGAGGGGTGAGGAACAGCCCACAGGCTATGAGGAGGACGCCATCAGGAGGGAGGAGTGAACAGGGCATGAGCAGGAGCACCAGCATCACCTCTCAGATTTCCAATGGATCTCACCTGTCCTACACCTAGAACACAAGAACTGTCCTTAACTCCTGTTTTAATGTAATACCACACACACACACACACACTGCACAGTTCTGAAACTGGGTTTACTTTTCTCCAATTCTCCCGTCTCCATGTTTCTCTGGCAGCCGTCTGTGGAATCCCAGGAGAGTTGAGACTTAACGGATACGTCTGAGAGCTGTTTCCATGTGCTGCTGAGCTTTTTGAATTTTTTATTTACCACAGGCTGTTTTTCTAACGTATGTCGCTGTTGCCATACACCCTCGGTGAGCTCTTCACCATGGAGTTTATCAAGTAAGGTTAGATGTCAGTAAGGTTATTTTATGCTCCAGTACGCTGAATGAGATGCTTGAAGATGAGAATTCAATAAGTTGTACAGAGAAAAGCTGCTGTAGTAACGAGAATATTTACAAAGTAATCCTTGTCAGGTGCTGCCAAGTTGTTTGTCGTTCAGTAAATTGGAAGAATGTTCTTGTGCAGGTAAACGAGAAGGTGGACCGTAAGATGGTGGAGAATACACGGAGGGATAATGAAAGTCGTTACTTGAGAACCAGGGAGGACGTTTGAACAGCTGTTCAGCTGTAAGTGATGCTGATGTTAAGCAGAACAGCTGGATTAGTAATAACTGCTGCTGCCATCATGCTCTTAACTGTTTATAGATCGTATCCGTGGTTCACTTCAGTGCAGTGTTGAGTCAGTGAACGCCACATGGCCAAGTAGAAGTAGTTCTTTCTCCTGCTCTCCGATTATGAGCTCTGCTCCTGGGGTTCCACAGACACCCCCCCTCCCCCCAGCTGCCAGCCTGTCCCGAGTCTCACACCTCGGGACAGAGATGAGTTTTCAGCAGCCTTCTAACAACGTGAATGCTGTCGAGGCTGCTGTTCACTCTTCACTAGTTGGCAGTGATCGTCTGATGTAATCAGGCAGCAACACAGAACCTAAAGCTGATCTTTAGTTACAATGGACTATTAAAAAAGTTTTTATTTTAAGTTTTAAGATTAAAATGGAAATGTCAGTATTAAAAACAAAAAAAAATAACTGACAGACAAAGGTTGCAACAAGACCTCCAGAAGAAGTGACCCCTGCTGTGCTCCTGAACCTGACTATATGTATTTAATTTGTTATTAGGCTAACATGAACGTGTCTGACAGTAATTTACTGGTTTAACTACAAAATAACCTGCACTGTTTTTAACTGAAGCAGCCCAGTTCATTTCTCCCACTGCAGCAGAACTTGTGTTCCTCACAATAGGCCTCAAACACTTTGAATGTGCATGTAATCCTTGACAATAATTAAATATAGTGGGGTTCAGGAGAACTGGGGGGGGGGGGGCTCCTGTCGTCTGGATTATAGACTTGAGAAAAATTGTGGCTTTTTGTTTACACTTCAATCTTGAAACTTAAATGTTTTCCCCTTCACTCTGTCGTATCCAGTAGAACCACTCAGTGACTCTAAATATGACTCGGATCCAGTTTCACTCAAACAGGAAGTCGTTTTTATTCTGCTGTCGAGGAAATGTGTAAACTCGACCGCTGGATGCATGCACAGGGAAAAGTGTAAGCATTTTGTGAGAACGGCACACGAGGCAGTTCATAAAAGCTGCACATGAGGATTATAGTATTAAAGAGTGAGCTATCAGGAGGTGGGAGGAGGCGCGTCCCCGTCCCCCTGCAGGTTGTGACTGCTCGATGTTTCAGTGGACTGATGGGTGGTGATGCTGTGATCTCCGCTGCTGTGCTCCTGCGCCCCCCTCCCTGATCTGACACCCCGCTCTGCCTCACCCCTGATGACCGCCGATCTCCCTGCGTCCCTCCACCTTCGCTTCCTCTCCCCCACAAGCCTTTTTCGCAGCGTCGTCTGATCCGAGGACGAAAAGAACCCGTGCTATAATTTGAATCTAAACACACGGAGGATTTTCGACCAGTAAAAGACGGACGTCTTCTTGTGAACTGCAACGATTGTATGATTTTCAGATGAAGTGTACAGCCACCATGTTCATATTGTACAGTCTGAGTTTGAACATAAGCAACAAATCAAAAACATGAAGCGTGCGTTGAGGGAGCGACCTCGTGGCTTTAGGCTTGCAGTCGTTACACAAACATGCTAACTTTTCACCGTTTACTTTGCAGCTGCCATGTTTCTGAAACGTGTTACAAAGATTCTGTTGAGCAACAACTGTAGGTCGGGTCGCCTCGAGTCAGTGGCACAAATTAGTTTTCTTAAACCATTTTGCACATAAATTCAGATTTATAGTTAGCGTTGGCCGTTTTATACGAGACGGGCTCCTCGTGGTTTTTAAGAGACACTCAGGCTTAAAAGATTTTAGTTACACAAAAGGACCTGGAAATATCTACAGAAATCTGGATAAAAACTGCTGAAATTTATTATGTTTATGCACTCTTTTTCTAAATTCTTGTGTGAAGCTGAGTTTTTTAATTTTTTTAATTTAATAAGAGTTGCGTTAGTTCTTGTGAAATCCTCTGAGGTTGTTTAGGAACTGATTTTTGACGTTTTGTTCAGACAGCACTTATTCGCCTTTCAAACAGAAACTTACAGTAAAAACTCGTCAGTTTTATACGTTTAGAAACAAAAACGCGAGTTTGCCATTTTAACCTTCGCTCCAGATAGTTTTTATGCTCCAAAGGGTTTTTGTTTGTTCCACACGTGGGCCAAATGAGCTGCAGTTTTACACCACATCTTGTTTACTAAATCTCCCGAGAGGGTTTTCTTTTATTTGTTCTGTTCAGGCAGTGGGGGCAGAGTCTAGCTTTAGACCTTGGTCACTCTGAACTGGATCAGTTGCACTGATTGCACAAGTAGCTGTCCAGATGTAGGAGTCTACTGTGATGCCCCCTCGGTGCGCTGAATGGGCGGGGGAGGCTGAACGTAGGCGGGAGGCAGGGTTACGTCTCTGTACAGTCTGTTTATCAGTATTTTTATCTTCATCATTCCCTTATGTCCTTTGGTGAAACTTGCTGTTTTATTCTCCCTGGTCCAGAGATCTGTATTAAATGTAATAAACTGTATAGATTGTGCAAAATGCTGAATGTTGCATAGCAGAAAAAAAGAAGCTATTCCTTCAGATGAAAAAGTGATTTAAAGTGTATAAAAGAAGCTACGAAGCAAAGTTAAGAGGATAAATGTAATATTTTGTTTGTAATTACTATTTTTTGTTGGAAGAGGGCTACTGGATAAAAGGAGTAATCTGTAATAAAGTAATTTTAATATTTGTTTCGTGGTGATTGTTTTTGTACACAAGCCTTTAAGAGTTGGTTTAAAAAAACACAAACAAAATAAAACATGCAAGTTTTTTATTCGTCACAATTTGAGTTCGAGCACAGGTTTCTACTCTGGTCGTGTATTTGTACCTTTCGTTTATTTTCAGGGAGTTATTTACTGACAGGATGTTGGGTTGAATATAAAATGTGCTTTTTCTAATTTGTGCTGGAAGACTACAATCGCTCGCATTGCAGCTTGTTAACGTCTAAATAATTTGTCCAGAAATTTACACAAGATTTTATTTCATCTCGAATTTAGTATAAGGTTGGGAAAAAACTAAACTACAAAAGAAAGTAGAAAAATTGTAATTGGTCCTTGAAACTGCAGCTTAGAAATAAACTACACATTTTGCACAAACAGTTAAAATGTTCATACATTTTTTATGACTTGGTGTTTTTGGTCACAATTGTATTTTTTTAGGGATAAATCTGTTTTTTTTACAATTTAAAAACTTCTATATATCCAACAATGAATGTTCAGTCACATCCTTTGTGTGCTTTTTTTTTTTTTTTTTACTGAGACGTTTTTTCCTTCATCCAAAGGACTTCCTCAGTCTGAGAAGCCACAAACAAAATATCCAGATGACCTGAACATTATTGGATTTTATACCTGGATTATTGAGCATGAACTTTGGTGTTTTGATTGTTTTGGAGGAGTGGTGGAGCAGAGGTTGGAGAAGTCGAGCCTGTGATCAGGTCACTGGTTTGACTCCCCAGGCCAACAACATCAAAATGTGGGTGAGATAGGTGAAGCACCCACACCTGCCTCCACCCTGGGCCCTTGAGCAAGGCCCTTAACCCCCACCATCTGCTCCCCCGGGCACCAGATGTTCGCTCTGCTCCACACAGAAAGCTGTGGTAGCTCGGTGGTCTGTGGTTGTGTCAGGAAGGACATCCAGAGTAAAAATAATCACCAAGTCTTCGAGCGAGTTAGCTCACTGTGGCGACCCCTGAAGAAGGGAGCAGCCGAAAGAAGAAAAACATGTTTACCTGTCCAGACTGTGCAACACAACAAGAAAACAACGACGACCCGAGCTGTTCAGTAAATCCGCAGCAGCTGATGTCATCAAATACAAAGTGAAAATATTAAAAATGTTCTGGTCGTATAATGTCCAACATCACCCTAATTTCTTGAAAACGCTTTGCAGGTAAAACCTTGAATGTACAACAGATATTTCTTCTGAAGACTCGACATGTCAAATAAATATAAAGGGATCTGTGTTTGAAATGATTAGCAAGTGTTGGTAGTTTTGCACATCAACTCATGAAAATATTAATTTAAGATGTTCTCATCTTGCGTTGCCACATGGTCATTCATTTAAAGCACTTGTAATCAGCTCCGTACTGTATCTCAGAAACAAATGGACCTGAAATGATTCCTTTGCAGATGTCCTCCTCCCCCATCCCTCGCTCCTCAACGTGTGTGTGACCTCCTCCAGGTGAAGCTCCATCCCCCTCTCACAGCTCTGCTCCATCACCTGGACCCTTGGTCTCCTTGTCATGGTGGGTCTCCTTCGGCAGGAGGGTACCACAGCGTTCACCCGGCTCCTCTGACTGTTTACTTCTCCTCTCCAGCTCGCCCTCTCCCTCTCTTCCTCTTTCAGGAACTCAGCCACTACTCTGAAGTACTCCAGAAGTACAATGTGACTCCAGTTACTTTCATCCTCCTGCTCCCTCCCCTCCAGAGTGAACCCACAGTGCCCCCCTCTGTCTGGCAGCACCAGGAGGAAGTAAGGGCTGTTGAGGAACAGGGAAATGGGCAGGATGGAGGCAGGTGGGAGGAGAGGGTCGTCCCTGCTGCAGATACAGAGCACAGGGACAGCCACTTCGTCTGCACCTCTCAGAGGTTCGTTCCTCTCCCAGCAGCTCTCCCAGTAGCTCTCCCAGCTCCTGGCTTGAGCTCTTTCGCCCAGCGTCCACACCGCTGTAGGTATGAGGCCCTGCAGGGAGGAGGCCCCAGAGCTTTCTGGAGATGGATAAGTTTACTGATGGAGCTTGGCTGAAGAGCAGAAGAGAGCTTCTTCAAAGTCTCTGAGGTTGGAGCAGCTGAGGGCCCGGTCCACATCCAGGACTCCCCTGAAGGAACTTGCATACCTTACCCCAGCATGTGGAAGGAAACACATCTTTAGGTTTCGTGTTGCTGTGTGGACACTTTCTTCTTTCTTTTCTCTCTCACCTGCTCAGATGCATTTTCCAGTGAAACAGCGCCGCCCAGCGGTAAACAGGAGGCATGGCTGCTTCAAACCACAGCTGGTCCAGCAGCTCAGGTGAGACGGCTGCTGCTGCTGTCAGGAAGGTGCTGGAACCATGCTCCCCCAGGTAGGACAGCAGGACCCCTGAGCCAGAACCCTCACTGTCTGCCACCAGCACAGAGGATGGGTGGCGACTGCGGACATAGGACACTGCCTGAAAATAGGAGACATAAACAAATGCCACTGTCGGGAAAGAATAAAAGTTGTTAGCACTAGAAGTACATGTTGAGGACGACTCTCAGCTACTACCACACCAAACTGAGGTTGTTTTGTCACAACCATTTTTGTTTTCTATTGTTTATTAGCCATCTGGAATTGGGTTGACTCCAAAAGTTAACAATGATTACCGTACTTTGAGGTTTCATAAGATATTTTGCTAACACACATGCACACAGACACATAATTGTCCACCTTTTAGGATGTGTGCAAACAAGTTCGTCGAGATACTCCCAGATGCATTTATAATGTCAAGTTTCATGGTGTTGAGGTCTCAAACAGTCTCTCTTGAGTCCCAGAGGCTCAGTGAGACTAACCTGTATAAATAAAGGTTGAATGAAAAAAAAAAAAACATTCTGATTTTATATAATTCATTCATTCACTCTTTATTTATACAGGTTAGTCCCACTGAGCCTCGGGGACTCATTTACAAGAGAGACCTGAAACATGGTCAACATGGTCCAAGAACGGAACCATAACGTATAAGACATAATGTTTTAGCTCATGTCTTGTGTGTGTTTGTACGTGTGTCTGTCAGCAAAGCAGGGCTTAATCTGAGCCAGATCCAGCCGGAAAAGGATCCGGGAACTATCTTATTTTGACAGGGTGCGTTCCGGTAACTGTTTGCTTGGATCCAGTAATTCTACCAATAATCAAGTTATGAACAAATATGACCGCCTCGAATGAATAAAACTTATATTGGAAATGCAAACTGAAAATAATTACATAAACACTCATTTTAAACACAACAGCCACGAGCATACGATCTGCCTCTTCAAGTAGCATTTCCACGTCTAACAAATCTCCACCCCTAAAAGAGTGGTGGGAGTGAGTGCCAAGCTAATCGGCTGTCATACATGGGCAGGAGACGTAGGAGGCACGGACAGAGTCGGGCTCGGACCCATCAAGTAAGTGGGCGGGGGGGGGGGCATGGTTGACAGAAGCAGAGTGTTTTCAAGTGTAGTTAAATATAAATGTTGAACAACCCGTTAAAATACACCAAAATGCAGGAAATCACATCTAATTTATTCAAAATTTTGCCCACCTGCTATTTGCTATTTGATCGGTTTACAAATGAAGCCCTGTGAGGAAGGAATCGTTGGCTGTACATCCACAACTGCATTCTTTTTTAAATCAGTCTGAATCAAGATGGCCATTAAAGTTATTAGACATTAGCTAACACAAACATGGCTACAACTTAGTCAGATTTGCAGACACTGAGCTAAAGTCTGTTGTCGAGTCATCCTCAGCACATATTTCAGCGCTAACACCTATTGTGAGTTTTTTTTCAATATTGCATGAGCTAATGTTATATTAAGGGTTGACAAAATGTCTATTTCCCATCTCGTTGTGTGTTTAAAACTCTGACACAAAAGCTGGTGGGTGATAAACATCACTTGAAGGATTGCTGGGCTTTTCGTTCATTTGCGCTTCATCGCACTCAACAGACTCATTAACGCTTTGTGTTTCTAACCTGTTCCAAATCAGCCGAGTCTCCAAACTCCGTGAGACGTGCTGTGGTCAGCGGCGAGCCCGCGGTCCCTCTGTGGTGAAATACCAGTAAAGCCCTGCCTCATGGCCTGGTGACAAAGCAGCTTCAAGTGAGGTCTCATCCCTCCCCAGGACTGAGTAGTAGGACAGGAAGTGTTGAGGTGAAGCAACCCGGTGCCTTCCACCTCTTCTTCACCACTGCCGCACCCAGTGTGGTCCCCACCGCCCAATCCAGAGCCACAACGCCCCCGTCCTTCAATAACAGGTGGTCTCTAGTAAACTGTATGTTGCCCTCACATTGTCCACACAGCTGGCTGGACACAGTCTGAAGGTGGGGGTCTCCTCTGGGCCAGGAGGCCAGCTTTGACTTTGCCAGAGAGCCACAGTTCTGCAGGAGATATTTGGCGAGAGCAGTGGGTTTGCAGATGAGCCTGGGTTCATCTGAAGTCTGACCTGAGCTCGTGTCCTGTGTTTTGACCTCCCTGTCCCATGTTCTTGTATCTTTGAGTGGTTTCAGCTCCAGGATCAGACAGACAATGACCCACAGCCTCCATCCTGCAGCTCCGACAGCCTGCCTCATCCAGCAGTGCACTCTGGGCCAGCGGAGAGTCACATGCAGCAGGAAAAAGCAGATGGAGGGGAGCAAACAGAACAAACAGTCCCATACGAACGATGCCATGCAGAAATGCACAAAACGTGTCGTCCCTGGATATTTTCCCTCCTGATGTTCTTTACTTCCAGTCTGACTGGTTGATGTTCTGAACGGCCTTCTTTCTCCAGCTTCTTATAAAACACAGATCAAAGGAGAACTTGAAGAAAAGTTCCCAATCTTTCATAAAGATGCACAAAAACGAGAACTGGAGCAAATGATCTTCTTTTTTGCCTCCCTCCGTCAATCATTTACAAACAAAGCAAACACAGACCCCCATAAATCACCTCCATTAACATCAATGGCAATGATTTTGTTTCAAATGCATGATTTAATTTGAAATCTTGACATGATTTACTAGCAGATATGGGACTTGTTGACCGAGCAGTCAGTGAAAACATGCATTTACAATCTTATGATCACTTAATTATAAACAATCATTGGACTAAGTCATTGTTCTCGCCTTAATTTTTTAGACTTTTTAACAAAGGAAAAGTCATTTTTTAAAACAGAGCAGATAAAATTAAGTCACACCATATTTTATCATCAATCTACTGTACTGAAATGTCAGCAGACAGTTGTATACTGTGTATATATATATATATACATAGCTGAATATATATATATATATATATATATATATATATATATATATATATATATATACAACATTAAAATGTGGGAGGAAAAGGTGAAACACCCACACCTACCTCCACCCTCATTTGTCTGGCACTCTGGGCCCTTGAGCAAGGCCCTTAACCCCCACCATCTGCTCCCAAACAGGTATTAAAAATGAGTCCTTGTGACTCAATGAGACTACTTGTCTAAATAAAGGTTGAATTAAAAAAAAAATACATGCCCAATCTTAGCTTAACAAGTGTAAACTAAATCTGTAAACTAAGTTGTAGCCACTTCTGTGCTGGCTAAGATCCGCTCTGTGGAAGCCAACTTGAACTGGATTGACTCCAGAAGTAGTGATGCACACCCTATGATACCTTTCAGAGTTTCACACATAATTCTGTCAAGTGGTTCATGTTTGAGGTATTTTGCTAACAGAGTGTCATCCATACATCCATCCATACATCCATCCATACATACATCCATGATCTTTACCTGCTTCTTCCTTTTCAGGTTGTTGGGGGCTGGTGGGTGGTACGACTTTATTTTGCTGCCCTCTTCTGCTAAGACAAGTGGTTGCACAGCCAGCTTCCTAAAGTTACAGTAGGACATGAGTGCTAACTATAATCAAACTATGATCACCGTTTTTGAGTATTTACAGTGTTAAATTAAATGTTCACCCTTGAATACAATCACTTGTTGCAGCAGGCAGTGTTCATCTTGTCTATATAACATTTGTAAAGGATTTCTACAGTCAGAGTAACTGGGTGGAACTGGCCAACACAGTTCCAAACTCCAAAAACAAAATAAAAACGCCAACATTGGAACCATAGCAGGACATTATACTCACTGATGTAGTTCAAAATGAATACTCTTGGTAAAAATGTTCTAAACAAAAGGGGTCCTTTTAGTTTACTGTGAATTTCTGCACTGACCCACCTTTGACTGTTGAGAAGCAACCAGAGCAACCTGTCACAGAAGAGTTGGAGATGACTGTACTAACAACATCTTGGATGATATTCTGAAAACTTTAATTACTCTTTTTTTTCTGGATGTACAATAAATGGCTTTTTCTGGATGATTACTTTCGCTGCTATCGGATGCTGTGCCACTGGAAGGATTTTTACTGAAAACTTTTTTACTTTTGGACATTTGTTATGATGAGTAACCATGACAACAAGGTGGTTTTCTACAACTGTGAGCAGCTGATTAACATCTCAAAAGCTCAAAAATACCTCAACTACAGCTCCAACTCCTAAATTAGTTGAAAAGGAGGTACCGTGGATGCATCTTTGTCTACCTGGTGGCGGTGCTCGATCACTACAGAGATCTTGGAGGTAGTGGGAAACGCAGCTTGTGACAGCGAGAGGACTGAGATCGTCCCCCGGCACCTGCAGTTAAGTCTACAGCGACGAGAAGCTCAGCAGGCTGCTGGGAGAAATGGCCATTGCTCGGGGAGGAGTTCTGCCCAGCATTCAGGCAGTCCTACTGCCCAAGAGGACGGCGAGGTCTGCTGGGTCTGGGTGGACTGATGGGCATCTGCAGCCAGTTTCTTCAGATCCACTGTGGGACAGACTGCTACAAGAGATCCTTCCTGCCCAAAGCCATCAGCATCTAGAACTTACTAGAAAGTAAGTTAATAACATTATTTATCTCAGGAGCAGACTGCTTTGAATTTAACTCCATTACAGAACTCTCATCTTGAGCAAGCATGAAGGTGACAGTGGAAAGGAAAAACTCCCTCATGAGGAAGAAACCTTTAGCAGAACCAGACTCAGGACAAGTAGCCATCTGCTTCGACCAGCTGGATTTGATAGGAACAGATACACAATGGCAGGTCAAGAATCACATGTTAAGATAGAAATAATATCAAATGAAAACTATTAAATTTTAACAATTCATTTAAGGAAATGAGGTCAATTTGTCCTCCAGTAATCTAAGCTTGAGGCAGCATAACAAGCCAACCCTAACTATAGGATTTATCAAAAAGAATAGTCTAAAGTCCAGTCTTAAAACTGGACAATGCGTCAGCCTCATGGGCAGAAACTGGAAGTTGGTTCCACAAGAGAGGAGCCTGAGAACTGAAAGATCTCCCTCCCATTCTGATATTGGAAAATCTAGGGATCATGAGATAGCTTGCAGTCTGAGAGCGAAGTTCTCTGTTAGGAAAATATGGAACAATAAGAGCTCGAAAATAAGATGGAGCTAGGTTGTTGAGAGCTTTGTAGGTTAGAAGTAGGATTTTGAATTCTATTCTGGATTTGACAGGCAGCCAGTGGAAAGAAACTAAAACTGGAGAGATATGATCTCTCCCACTAACTCCAGTTAAGACTCTGACAGCAGTATTTTGGATCAAATGAAGACTTTTTAAAGAACTATTTGGACACCCAGATAATAAACCATTGCAATAATCCAGTCTAGACGTGACAAATGCATGAACCAGTTTTTCTGCATCATTTTTAGATGATTCTAAATTTAGCGATATCAGCAGGTGGAAGAAGGCAGTTCTAGTAACGTTTTTAATGTGGGGGATAAAAGGCAGACCCTGTGATGGACTTGCGACCAGTCCAGGGTGTACCCCGCCCCTCGCACAGTGATTGCTGGACATGGGCACCGGCGACCCCCGTGACCCAAAATGGAAGAAGCGGGTAAAAAATAATGGATGGGATAAAAGACACGTCCTGATGGAAAATAACACCGAGATTTTTAACATTAGAGCTGAAGGCCAGATTAAAGCCATCCAAGGAGAGCAGAAGACTGAAAAATGTATTCCTAAGATGCTCAGGTCCAAAAACTAAAACATCAGTCTGTTTCTTTCTGCTCCCTATCAGTGCAATTATGAAACAAAGATTGTCGACTAATTTTAAGAATGAAAAGTATGTAGTCAGGTTTCCTGTGGTTTTAGAGAAAAAAACATAAAGTCAGTTTTGGTTTGTAAGATGATAATGTCAGTAAAAAATTACATACTATTTTTTTAATTAACTTTAATTTAACCAGGCGATTGCCTTTGAGATCACAGATCACACGGACGGCCTGGGCCTGAAGGCAGCCTAAACATGCATGTTTATGGACTGTAGGAGAAAACCTACGTAAACATGAGTAGGTCATGCAAACTCCACGCTGAAAGACCCCAGATCTAAACCAGGGGTTGAACCCAGGGCCTTCTAGTAAGCATTTTAACAAAACACCAATTTTCCTTCTAAATTTGAAATAAAACATTAATACAATAAGATGTGAAGTTGTAAACAAAGGTCATAATTTTATAAACCGGTAGAACAAGTTCAGTATGACTCCACCTGAAATGGACCGTCATACATAGATGCTGATAAAAAAAAATTAGAAAAAATAAAAAACACTCGCACACAGGTACATAGGCTGATGGACACAATCTAGGTAAGTAATTTTTATACTATGATTACAGACAAGTCAGGTTTGATTAGGAACATGTTGAAAAACATTATGATTATTTATAAATCATAGATCATAGATGGTTATCTTGTTCAATTTCAAAGAAATGCACAGCTAGTCATCCCTCTACATGCTCCCGCAGCCACGAATCAGCTTTTGAAATGCAGCTGATTTGACCGTCAAAGTGCAATTAGGAAAAGTTAAACTGAGACACACCTTTACTGTAATGTCGAGCAAACAAATAATTGTTTTAAGAGTTGATCTTGTTAAATTTTTGTTAAAGTCCTCCTGTGCACACTCCCGCAGCCACCATTTATTTTGTGTTTTGCAAAGTTTAGATGTGTTTCACTTTTACTTGTCTTCTTTTTGCTAAGATAGACAGGAGGAAAGACAAACAGACAGATTATTGGAGCAATTTGTGTTTAGTCAAATAACAACCATGAATGCATTACATTATAAAAAGGCAGTGCTTGAAAAAAGGTGCAATTTAATGTTTTGAAACTAAGAGTTACTGTTTGTAACATTAATATATGCATCCTATTGGGTAAGAGTTAATAAAATAGTGAGGGAAATATGAAACATATGCATAAAATAATGTTTTGTAAGTTATTATCTTCCACCATAGTCAAAGTCACAGATTAGCAAATGGTGAGTATCAGCTGTTCTAACTTTTCTGTGCACAGTCACTGCATTCACACTTGGTGATAATTTTATGGTAATAAATAAACTGTTAAAATCTCATATTGATTTTGTGCATTTTTTTGCAGAGTAAAACTGAAATGCATTTATGAAGTTATATGAACTGTTACACAGAATGAACTTCAGTTTGATAAGCATCTCTGTTGGAGCTCTGTTTCATTTCTCATGTCCAGATAATCGTCTGGTCTCGTTTGTGCAGATTGCATCATACAGAAATGACGGTTTTGAAATTTCACATTCTTTAGTGCTGGCCAGCATTTTATTCTTAGACACCTGATTTGCTGAGTTGCTTGCTGAAATTGTGTTTCTTTCTGCTCCCTATCAGTGCAAATATGAAACAAAGATTGTCGACTAACTTTAAGAATGAAAAATATGTAGTCAGGTTTCCTGTGGCTTTAGAAAAAAAAAACATAAAGTCAGTTTTGGTTTTAAGATCAGAATGTCAGTAAAAAAAAAAACTGCACATAGTTTTTTTTTTTATTAACTTTTATTTAACCAGGTGATTGCCTTTGAGATCACAGATCACACGGACGACCTGGGACTGAAAGCAGCCTAAACATCTATTTTAATGCACCTATTTTCCTCCTAAATTTGAAATAAAAACATTAATGCAATAAGATGTGAAGTTGTAAACAAAGATCATCATTTTATAAACTGGTAGAACAAGTTCAGTATGACTCCATCCTAAAATGAACTGTCATAAATAGATAATGACAACAACAAAAAAATTCACACACACACACATGTTGGTGGATACAATCAAGGTAAGTAGTTTTTTTTATTTTATTTACTATGATTCGCTCCTTCACAGTTTATTTTAAATTAGCTGTTGCTGCACAAGTGGATCTGAACTGTTTCAACGTTTAAACTCAAGATAAAGTCAGCTTTTTTCATAAACCAAATAATTTCATTGACATGGAAATTAAAGGGTAAAGTTCAAGATACAGAGTATCAGCCAACAAAATGATAGGAAACAATATTTTAAAGTAGTATATGTAGTAAGAACATTTAAATGTAAATGTCAAGTTAGGGTCACACTGTGTAAATAAGGTACAACTGCAGAGTTGTAGTAAAAAAATTAAATGTGAGACAAAAATTCCAAACTGACTGTGTGACTTTGTGAAAAATAATAGATTGTTTAAAAAATGTACACTCATAGAGAGCTATTTAATTTGTTTGTCACTGTTTTCTATAACGAGCCACATCTGTGTTATTATGTGGGCATATACAAACTTCTGATGACAAACCCAATGATGAAATAAAAATACCACTGGTGTCTTTTTTCCTCCCAGTTTAGAAAACTCAAAGGATGAAGTCCCCAGGACTGGCTGTGATTTGTTTCGTCCTCCTGCACGCCGGAGCTCATGGCTTTGGAATATTACCAGGAGTCTCTCTGAGTCACCAAGAAATCACAGAACAAGCTATTTTAAATGCCACTTTACAGACTTGCCGTGACCTGGCTCAAGATGAAGGGAGCGACTTCAGTTTTCCTGTATGGTTAATTCATTGCACAAAAACTCTCTGGTTAGTAGCCTACTATTGACATGAGTTAACTTTGTCTTTAGACTCAGCCTTTCACAGCAGGAGCTGTTGCTGCCGCCTGCGGTGCTTCTCAGTCCTCCAAAACTTTCCGCCAAGCCATTACATGCATCAAGTTGAGGACTTCACGAGTGGACATCCGCTACCCCTTCCAGTCAAGCTTCCACTTTGATAAGGAGATGTTCACTGAAGGAAGGCGCATCATCACAGAGGGACTGACAGCTGTCAAAGCCAGCAACAAGAAGGAGAACTACGAGGCAGCAAGGGAGCAACTGGGAGAGATTCTACATCCTTTACAAGTAGGCCTATTGATCAGTTTAAAATGTTGCTGTTTAAAGAATTGTTCAAATAAAATCTGTTCATTTTTTTCCCATGTTGAAGGATTTCTACAGTCACAGTAACTGGGTGGAACTGGGAAACACACGCCCGAACTCTAATCTGATCAGAGCAGGCAGCAGCATTGGGAACACAGCAGGTAAAGAGGTGGTCTGATGGCTGGGCTAGCAGACAGAAAACTAATGAGGTATGCAGTTTGAAAAGTACTGTGCTAGAAAGCAAACAATAACTAATGGCTGATTTTTGTTTGATCAGATGCAAGCAGAGCAACGTGTCGCAGCTGTGACAATGATGTTTGCATAAACAACATCCTGGAGGACATCACAGCCGAACAGATCCTGACCTCTGGCTACACTGGTCTATTCCCTTTTGTCTCAACCAAACCAAAAGGTATTAGATTAATTAATTTACTTTCAACATCATTTTAATTTGCAAACTGAAAAGGTTTCCAAAAGCATGGCTGAGTCTGTTGCTTGGGCTTGGTTTCTTTCACTCTGTAAGCTTTTGTAAGGTTTGTGTTTGATTGTTGTTTACCAATGGCAGAACATCATTATAGTCAGTACTAGGCCTGTCGCACAACAATAAATCAATTAATCGAATGATAAATTAAAATGATCAACCTCATTTTCATTTATCGACTTTATCGTTTCTTCGTGTCTCTCGTTCTGTTGGACACTGGATGACAAAAGGCTCAAGCTCTTCAGTGTCAACTCCCTTTCTGTTTTCTCTTTAAAATCCATTTTAATGATCTAAAATTGCGTTTTTGGATCGTTAAAAAGCAGCTAAGCTGAGACGCTAAACTACGAGCTAAGCTAACAGGGCGACCTCGAGAAAAAAACCTCAGTCTTGTCGAAGCTCCAAAATTCATGGTTGAAACCTGTGCCTTTGTGTAAAAAGTTGTTTTTCTCTGCAAAAAGATGCAGAGAACTTGTTTACTGATTTTTTTTAATTAAAAGCTTTGTGTGAAATATGCTATGCTAAAAAGCTCAAACCACACCACATTTTGAGAAAGAAAAAACAGGAACAAGAGACAGCCCATGTCACGTCAATGGGCCTCCCTCCCATTTTTCTTAAAGAGACACACTGCTCGCTCCCTCACTATTAATCTTTTGGTTCAAAATGTCTTATACTGCCATCCAGTGGTCAAAAAAGGTAATACACACAAAAATTAACCAACATTTCTTCTTAAATTTGACAATGACTAATTATTATCAAATTTCAAACAATATTATCGTTTATCGCAATAATTTCTGAAACAATTAATTGACCAGCAAAATTTGTTATACACCTACAATTTGCATCTACTTGTAGGGGCGGCATACAGAATACGATTCGCATGTAATAACTGTTGTACAGAGTCCCCTTTGGCTACTTTTTTCATCAGTTTCTCCACACTGACTCACTGTTCTCAAAACACTCCTCCAGTATGATATCAAAGTTACAATGAGCCACAGGAAAATCTGTCAGATATTCTGAGATCACTAACTGACCAACCTTTATCTTCTCAAAAGGAAAGTGCAGCCATGGAGGAGCGACTGATTTTTCTAGTAAGCTTGAGCCAACAGGTGGGATCAATAAAGACACCTTCACCTCCAATCATGGATTCCTCCACAGCCAAGCAGCAAACCTGGCAATAGCTGCAAGCAGTGAGCTGCTGGAGGACATCAGACTTGCTGCTGGAGACCGAACATTCCTACGGTATGGAAGTCTTTGTACATGTTTTAACTGAGATTGTTATGGGGTTTTGCGCTGTTTAATTTAATATATATATATTTTGTGTCTTAATTCTTTAGCATGGTTGGCATCTTCAAGGGGTCCAGCAGAGCTCTTTGTTTTGTCACTGACACCACAAAGAGCATGAGTGACGACATTGAAGTGGTGAAGACAGTCACTTCTTCTATAATCATCAGTCATTTAGGAGCAAAGAATGAACCCTCAGTTTACATTCTTGTTCCTTTCAATGATCCAGGTATCTCTTTAGGATGATTTAAGTAACACATAATGTTTTATCTGATTGACTTGGTGAAAATGAAGAATAAACACTTTTTTTTTTGGTTCTGTCTAGGATTTGGTCCACTGATAAAAACAACAAATGCTACAGTTTTTAAAAGCACTATTAATTCCCTAACAGCTTCTGGTGGAGGAGATGATCAGGAAATGAGTCTTTCAGCATTGCAGGTGCCACACTGTGTGATCAAATTTTTCTGAAGGTTGTTGAGGTGGAAATAATTTTAACCGAAATGTTTTTTCTGTGTGTGTGTGTGTGTCTGTGATTTGTTTTTTCCCTGTCAAACTTAGTTGGCTTTAACAAGTGCTCCTTTTAATTCAGAGATCTTTCTCTTCACGGATGCACCTGCGAAAGACAAATACTTGAAGAACACTGTGATCGCACTCATCGAGCGAACCCAGTCAGTGGTAAGTGACTGGTCTACATGTAAAAAACAATCCATCCGTTTTATGCTGTCTATCCATGGTCGGGTTGCAGGGGCAACATGTCCAAGAGGACAACTCGGATATCCTTCTCCCCATTGACACGCTCAAGCTTCTCGATGGGAGAAGGTCTCCCAGGTCAAAGAGGATATATAATTCCTCCATAAGTTTTTCGGTCTGCCCCGTGACTCATTTAAATTGGACATACCTGGAGAACCTTCAGTGTACCCATACCATTCATTTGGTTTTACCTGATCTGTCTGGCAGCTTTCTCCACCACCATACCCAACTCAACAACAGATAACGATTAGTTGGCAGCCCAGACTCTGTCTGTACCCAAGTGTTCAAGACATAGGGCGACAGAACTGATGCCATGACTACAAAATCAGTCATCAACTTTTGGCCCAAGGTAGCCTGGTACCAAGCACATTAATGGATCACCCTATGCTTATTTGGTCATTGTGAACAGCCTATGCTTAGCAAAGAAGTTAAATAATACAAGTGGTACGCCAATGTCTTCTGTCACCGAGGGGTTTGAATAGTTAGTTTTTGAAGTTTGAAGTGAGTTTCTCTGGACTGGATTTTGACGTGGCAACCACATTTTTTTGATAATCGACGTTCTTACAACTCGATGCAGCTATACAACAAAACAGAAGTCGGTACCTCACTTGTTTTTCAAGTGATCATGCTCAAAATGCAAACAGACTATGGCAGTTATCTTGGAATTTGACCTGGCAATCCAATTTTTGAAAAGAACCTTTCTTACGCCGAGATGCAACCGCACACCAAAATGGAAATTACCATTTCACTTATTTTCTTTAAGTTATCATGCTCACAACATGAACGGATGGACGGAGGGTGTTTCCAGTATTCCCTCTTAGATCCGTAAAAGGGGACAAAAATACAGCTTGGGTTCAGTTCATGGAGGTTGTTTCTCCCAAACACCCACTTCCAGATAACTCTTTCTTTGAAGTCACCTAGGAGAACAACATAATCCCCAAATTCACTCATCAAACAACATCCTGACTCCAAGGTCTGGTTATATGACCTGCTGTTAAGTGCATTAGAACAACCACAAACAGAATCCTCCCTCCTGCAGCTCTAAGTCACAGAAAGGCAATGCTCTTGTTTACTGGGGAGAACCCAACACAGCGGCACTCAGCTGAATACCCCTCCTCCAAAAGCAGTGGACGTTTCTCTTCCTGAGCAACTCTGTTGTTGAAGAGTCAAGCCATTCTTCAAGAGTTGGGTTCCAGATCCCTGAGTCCAGTTATATCTGGTTTGACTCCTCACCTGCCAGTGGGGTGACATTCCACACCCCTTGCCTGCCACCTGCCCTATACATAGCACCCTACCAGAGTTGGTACCTGTTTAAAGTAGCCCTGGTTAGGTGATTTAAGTGATATCAAAAAATATGTAGCCCTTATTAGGACAGAGCATCAGAACATATTTGATTCCAAATTTATAGGATCACTAACAGAAATTGGTCAAGACTGTATATATTACTGTTTAAACTTGTTCACATTTATCTGTTCTTGTGATGGTTTGATTTATTGCTGTGACTACTGGTAATATTGTTGCGTTTATAATCCATTTGGTTGGTAACCACTACTGCGCAGGTGGGCTTATTTCAGTGTCACTCTGATTCCAGGTCAACTTTATGATTACTGATTCAACAGCGACTAATCGTCGCAGAAAAAGAAGCAACGCCAACCAGCCACAGGTGAGAATGATCGCAGACTCTGATGCTCAGCTGTACAGAGAGCTGGCTCAGGCATCAGGAGGTCAGGCTATAGAAGTTACAACGAGCGAGCTTCAAGCCGCCACAGCAGTCATAACTCAATCCATGAACTCCTCTCTGGTAAACATCAACCTCGACTTGAGTAGCTTCAGTTCAAAGATTATCCATCTTTAGTCTAATAACTTTGATTTGTCAGGTGACCCTTCTTCAGGCTGCCAGGAGCCCAGGAACAGCTGACAATTTTACATTTTTGGTTGATGAAACTGTTATAAACTTGATCGTTTACATCACTGGCCGCTCTGTTACATTCACTCTCATCAGCCCAACAGGTATAAACTGCAGAACTCTTTATGTCCTTCCTAAAATGCTTAAAACATTTTTAAAACTGTGAGAATCTGTTAAGAAATTTGTTTGTTGTTTATTGATTTTACAGTCACTGTAAAAAGTGCTTTATTATTAGCGTTGGCAGCTAATTATTATAATTTTTTCCAAGTGTGATTGTTGGTTTTGTTTTTAGGTGCATCTCAGGAAAGCACTGACTCTGCAGGTTCTCTGATCACGGCAACCCAGTCATTAGGAAATTTCATAACTCTGCAGCTCAAAAACCAAGTTGGACAGTGGGAAATCAGAATGATGTCGACTAACCCCTACACTCTAAGAGTTATGGGTGAGAAACTGCTTGCGTACATTGTTTGCTAGTACTAGAGGCTTTATGCTACTCGTCTAACAAAACTGAAGATTATAAAAAGGTCATAAATGATGTCACCAAACCTATGTTCTTTGAGACTTTTGCGACAAAAATTGTTTGTAAAAGATTTTTATGTTTTATAGGCCAGATTGTATGTATTAATAAAAAAAAACTACTTTAAGGTTAGGTACAATGAAAAAAAAAGTAAACTTTGACACAAAAACTGCTTTTTTTAACCCAGCCTTAAAACAAAAAAAATTCCTTTAAACTACTTACGACCGATAACTCCAGTTTCATGTTAATCTTTTGTCGAAATAAATTGTCTTGGTCATTTTACTGGGACTTATTAGGTTCAATGAAACTTCCAAAGTCACAGAATTTTGTGCAGTGGAACAAAACGAATACTCATTTTGTGATTCTTTGCAACCTTTATTTGCAGGTCAGAGCCCAATTGACTTCTTGTTTCACTTTGTCGAGCCATCCCAGGACCCATTTATTGGGTTTGATGCTCTTGATACACGTCCAAGAGCAGGTAAAAGTTTTCAAACAAAAGGATACTTCCTTTAATTAAGCAGGGTTGTGTTCAGTCATTTTCTTATTCATAGCAGACAACGATTGGAGTGATGTCAGTTTGGAGAATCAGGAAGAAAATCCGTATCAAGCTACAGGCTACTAGAAACAAAACCAATTCAAAATTCAAAATTTGCAACCATCTAAATCAACTGAAATTTAATTTATTTCTAGTAATCTGAGTGACTGCTATATTAAGTATTACATCTTGCCACTTTGGTATAACACAGTTGTTAAAGCTGCTGTTGTTTTCCCGATCTGTTAGCATAGCAACATGAGCAGGAATTGTTTGTGGTGCTATGCTAACTTTATGCATGTGTCTGCTCATTGCATCCTAGCACTGATCAGCCAAGCCCCCAGAAGATTTTGTCCCTCTGATAAACACTTGTTCTTTTTTTTACTGCATACCCTTAATTCATCAGAAAAAGCCACTGTGTCACTCATTTTCAATACCAGTAGTTACCATTTTAAAGTAAGACCAGAGGAACTGCAGGTCACTGCAGATTTGGTCAAGAAAATTGTGACATAGTGAACTGCCTCATGTGGAAAAATTGAGAGGCAATAATACTTATTATAGCAGATATTTGTTTTTGACTGAGCCCTGGCCAGTTGTTAGCTTGACTCAACTATAAAACTTGTCTGTGATTCTCCAAACTGGAATTGCTTAGCTTGTCACTGCAGGTAAGATATAGACTGCTTACAACTGATTACCACTTCACTTGAGAAACAAAGTATGATGCATAGAAATTTTGATTATCATGTCCCATCAGGGGTGGCTGTGGCTGAGTGGTTAGAGCAGTCATCCTCCAATGCGAGAGTTGGGGGTTCGAATCCACCAGCAGTCACATGTCGAAGTGTCCCTGGGCAAGACACTGAATCCCTCATAGCCTCTGATGTGTGTCCCATCAGTGTATGAATATGATCTAAAGCACTGATTAGTCTCTTTAGAATGATTTGTTCAATTAGCTTTGTAGAGATCTATTAGAGTGCTGTATGAATGGGTAAATGAGGCACAGATTGTAGTGTAAAGCACTCTTGAAATAAGATAGAAAGGTGCTATATAAGTACAGTCCATTTACCATTTCCCATTTACCGTCATCATTATCACAATCATTATGTAATATTTTTCTGTAAAGGTCTTAGTGGCAGCTTGTTGGTGTCTTTAACTGGAAGTGACTCTGCCACTGTGACAGAAGTAGCTCTGATTGTATCGTCCGGATCAGAAGAGATCAAAGGAGTTGTAGTGCCACAAGGGAGTGGAAACTTTTTAGTCCAGGTCGACATGATACCATCAGTGGAGTTTGTGGTTCGAGTGAAAGGGAGCAATCAAGATTCTTCAAATATTTTTCAAAGACAGTCCCTCACCAAATTCAGAGGTTCAAATCTAAAAATTACGGTGAGCAACCATCAAAAACATTACCGTATGACAGAATACATCACATAAACCATGAGATAAGCTGCAAAGAGCAAATTATATTTACACACCCTGAAATATAATTATCTTTCTTTAGGCTGATTCAGATAGCATCTTGATACCAGGCACGCCATTCTCTGTGCCTTTCACTGTGATGACTAATGGAACAGGAGGGAACTTGACCCTCCGAGTCACCAACAGCAGAGGTTTTGAATCAACTTCTCCAACTATTTTATTCTTGGGAAGTGGAAACAGCACGAATGGTACAGTGGTCATGTCAGCACCTCTAAACACCCCGTCAGGCACTGATGTGATGCTGACTATTGAGGCCGAGTCTCCGGAGGGTTCAGACACAAACTACATCGTATTGCTCTTCTCTGTTCTCAACAAGGTAATATTGCCATATAACTGTAATCTATCTATCTATCTATCTATCTATCTATCTATCTATCTATCTATC